AATAATGTTGCAGCTTTCTTCATTTTCCCTGATTTACTTGAATTTTTTGTTTTTGTCAATTGAATATTATCACTCCTTATTTTGAAAATAGGGGAAGTATTGACTATGTTACAAGATCACAAATTGCCAATCTACTCAGTAAATATAGTAAATTTATTTACCTACATAGATTTCGCAGTGTTAGTCGTGTACATATCATTTGTAGTCAAGCGAATAACATTTTTCGTTATCTCTGACCAAATTTGATAGTTAGTTTATTCTTTTTTTTGATGTAATCCATGCGCCAATCTTGTTCAAATCCCAGATATAGAAATGTTTCTTCAGTTTGCATCCCGCATATTCGACAAGTGGTCTCAAGATCATATGCAGTATTTTGCAGCTTTCCTTTTACCAAACCTACTGCTCAGCATTTTTTCACTCCAAATTGCACCCTTAAATCAGATCTGTTTTCAGATGAGTGACGTGTGTCTTAGCTGATGCATATATATTTCGGGCACGGATCCACGCGGGGGAGATTGAAATTTCATCTCTTAAAAATGTAGTATTAAGTATTAATTTTAACGTATCACGTAACTTTCAAGTAACTAGTAGTGATAAAACAACACGTAGTTTTTCGCCCGTGTTTTCATGAAAAATTACGCGAAAGGTAGTCAAATCTTCCAAAAATTGAACCTGAATTAATTGCAAAATCTATTTTTAAGAACAAATTTCATTGAGAAAAATATCTTTATTTTTAATATTTAATTATAGGAAGACTCCGAAAAGTTTGATCTTTTATAATTTTCCAAAAATCAGGATTTTTTACGAACCTGCGCTTCTCTTACACGTTACTCTTCACGTTAACAAAAATAAAAATAAAAAGCAATGGAAAGGTTTTTTTAAAAATTTACAAATGTCCCGGAGAACTCATGTAAAGTACACTCAAAATAAAATGTCGGTTTTAAATTATAAGGGCGTGACAACAATTACATCGTTCGGGGAATATGAATTTTGGAGAAAATCGGCTGAACGGTTTAGCCGCTAGCGTTATTCGCAGACAAAAAGACGTTTTGCCATTATTCAGTATTTCGGTTTGAGGAACCCGCAAAACGTAGTCTGGCCAAACCAAGGGAATTGTTCAGTTTTTCGTTACCAGGTCTTGTAATAAGAGTTTTTCGGCAGGAAATTCGCAGTTTTTGCGCGCCGCTTCATATAACGCAGCATGTGCTGGGGTTAGCCTGCGTCATTCTATATAATCTGCAATATGACACATTTGACCTAAACATTTTGAATAAAAAATTATTTTTATATACCGATTAGACTCGACACACAGACGGGCATTTCTATAGTATCCCTAGAATGGTGAAATATAATAAATAGGGGCGGATTTTGATGATCTAAAACTTCGCTCATAATGATGAATAAAATATTCTTAAAAGGTTTTAAAAGGCCTAAAGGGAAAGAAAAAATGACGTAATCCTTTATCAAAACAAGTTCACATTCGTATTCAAGCTATTGGATATGTTACTGCTACAATCTCAGTGTCGGTTTGTGGACATGCGCGCTCTGTTCTTAGCCTTTTAGTTACGAATGAGAATCGTCACTCTCGCTGTATTTTAGTCCAGTGGTACGTATGAAAAATGTATTTGACTCGTCTCCGAGGCGTGTCACAGCTCATATTTTGGTCTTGCTCCGTTTGACAAGCGGTGCTACGGCGACTTCCACGTATTGGAGTGTGGCCGACGCAACCGGAAACAGTGTTCACAAAGGAAGGTATCTCTGTAGGTGCTAAGCGAGTGATCGTGGGCCGCTTTGACATTTCGCGCAATTACAGTGTGCCCGAAACAAAAGAATAGGGCATGATTCGCTTACGTGCGCGTGGAGTCGGAGCGGTGAATAAGTACTTAAGAGGATAAAGAAAATATCTAAAAAGAATAAGGAGAAAAGAGAAAGAAATCTATTCAACAGAAAAATAGAAGCAGCTTGAGATAAATTTTGTAAAATCCAAACGACTATCTTCAGACTTGTACAGGAATGTTTGTATGTAAGCGATTGTTTAATTTGTAAAACGATATTATGCGTTATTATTTAAATTATTACTGTTCACACTTGTATCATAGCATAAAAAGTATAATGACCTAATATTTTGTGGTTCTGCAGTTTAACGACAAATTATTACTATTTTGGTTTACAGCCTTAAAGTATTCATTGAATTTTAGACATATAATTATAATTTTTTTAAAGCACTTTATGAGAAATAATTTACTTTCTTTATAGACTTATATTATGTTTGTGCTTATATTAACACACGGTGTCCGAGAAGGAAACGTCTCAATTTCGAAAATAATCTCATTAGACAATTTATGCATATTTTGTTTAATAATCTATGTGGGTAATGCGAACGGCTGAGCTGCAATAAGCACTCAAAAATTAGTTTGAAAACATTATTTCTAGGTAAAATTGTGCAATATAAAAGTAAAGAAAACAATTAAAAAACTTGTAAATTGCTCATTTTTCTAAAGAAATAAATATATTGCATCAGAAAGACAAATTCAGCGAGAAATAAAAACTAGTAGAATTGTGTCAATTAGGTGAATATTTTTATTTCTGGGTTACGAGTAATTTCTTTCTGAACACATACTAAGCAATTTAGGTGTTCGTGGAGTCTCTCTATGCTTCTGTAACGCAAATCTAAGTCTAGAAATACTTTTTTCTGACTTAATATTGAGTGTCTTTATCGAATCAGCCATTCGAAATATCTACTGTTTATCAGACGAAATATTCTTAAAATGGCTTTAAGAACTTTTTTTCAAAGTTTCGGCGTTTCTTCCCCGGACACTCTGGATATATGCAAATACAAATTTCCCTCCCCTAAATTCGTCTTTGGATTCTCCCCTATATACTTTTCATCATCAACATAAACCAGAATGTTAATGCGATATAATACTGTAATTTCTAATTTGATCGTAAATACGTACTCTGTTTTTTTTAACATATTGGACCAGGGATTTCTGCACAAAATAAATTTTAGTAGACTTGGGGAATCCCTTTGAAACATGGAGTTTTGGGTTATTCCTACAGGACTTATTTAATGTTTCTCGGCGTGTTTTGGGTTGAAGTTGCAATGAAGTATATCTATACAATTATCAACTAACCTTTTATCGTTAAAAAAATTGAAAAAATAACAAGGTAAGTTTCGAAAATAATATCCGTCTGTATCCGGGAATATAGGTATTCAAATTTGTGTTTCAGTATGAAATGCGCATAATCGGGCGCGGGTCCACAGGGAGAGAAATGAGGGAGATTTCCCCTCACAAAACGTTTAAGTAACTATTAATTTTAACTTGTCACGAAACTTTCACGCAAAAATATTTTCGCATAAACATTAAAACGAATAAAATTGCATTGCAATATGACCTGAGTTTAACCTGCATGAGTCTATATATTCTGTAATATGACACATTCGACCAAAATATTTTGAACAAAAAAATGTTCATTCCAAAAATTCATCACTGGATCCGCCCCTGCCATAAAGCTTTCATTAACACCAGTAGTCCATTCTTGCGCTGTCATGGAACTACTGCTTCTCTGAGCACTGGCTAATAGACCTGCGAAGCATCCAGCTTAGGTGAAGCTCTTGATGAAGATTGGCTTCGTTTATAATCAGCAGTAGCATAGTGGGAGATCGTTGCTTCCTGTGTCAGCACCCGGTCGCAGGCGAATCGCTCGTGATCACTCGTGTCCAGAGGTAACTCCAGACACACCCCGGTGCTCCTCAGACAGCGACGTCTTAGATGTGTCTCCTTTTCAGTAAGGGTAATTGCCACTGTGCAACACCATTCGATGGCAATTACTCGTCTTCCACGTGGCACAGTTCTTGTTAAACATATAGTTGTACTTAAGAAAGAAAGCAGATATAACAAAAGGAGGGGTGGTGATGGAATGTCTTCAGGAGTTCGTATTTCACTCAAAGAAGGAATACCAATTGAGAAAAGAATATAAAGGGGGACAAGAGGAATAATGAGAGACTGATAACTAAGAGACAGCGGAGAGCTGCTCCTGTTAGTCGCCTTTTACGACGGGGAAGGACTTGAGATGAACAACTGATATTATTGTTTCCTCTGTTGGATGTAGGAGCCGTATATAAGAAGGCCGTTGTCATGACCGATGCACAATTTTATGACAAACGTATTCTGTCTGAAAGGTAATGAGAAGGATTTTAACTTTTTATTTGCATATTTAATAAAATATAATTTAAGCATGTAACGCTAAAGTGCGTTGAAAATAATGTCAAAGAGATCCAAATTTTGAAAGTGCAACATTGCTCAAAGACGTCATTAAAATTTGTTGTCATAAATTCGAATTTTTTTTACATTAAGAAAAAATACTAAAAATAAAGGAAAGCTACTAAAAAGCGTTCAGATAATTCAAATTAACAATACTTTGTTTGAATAATAATATTCTTAAAACAATGACACTGCATTTCCTGAATCATAGTCTCTAGAATTTCCCGAACATAGAATAGATTTTGATATTTTCAGAACAAAGTACTTTAAATTTCAATAAATGAAGACATTTTGGGATGTGTCGTAAACAAATACCGATTTGTACTTCACAAATTAATGGTTTTTAACATAAGTGGCTTGAACTTCAAAAATTATTAATGATTTTCGCATTCGTTAATGAAATCATATATTTCTTGGAATCTTCACGTGGTTTTAATATCATCATTTTAATATGATGAATCCCAATTTCGGATATCCGAGTTTTGTACCTGACTGAACTAGCTTCTGCAAAAACCAAAATGAGAACAGATTCAGAGTGAAGAGTCCCTTGTCTTTCACCAAGTAGATACGGGTTCGATTCTCAATCTCAAGGGAAATTTGTTTCGAAAAAAACGAGCTCTGCTGCTTCGGAGGACAATCCCTGTGTAGTACCCCAAACCCCACTGTCTGATTCCTTCCCAATTCTGGAAACTGGACTCCTGAACGACGTGTGTAAAGAGACGCATACGCGGAGATACAGCCATCTTTACAACAGATTTACTACACTTTCGGAAATTAAAATCAAATATGTGGCTGCTAATGGCCCAGTAGTTGATACGACCTTTAATTTAAAAACAAACTGCGTCATTGAAAGAGATGGAATTTTAAGGCTTTGGGCTGTAACAAGGTACACCACACCAGTAAGGGAAAGCTTTGCGCTATTCGCAAATGATATTATTCCATTATTTTTTAAGTGTGGTTTTATCTTGTTACTATCCCAGTCCCTGAATTGATTTTGGCGCGTGTCCTTTTATTTCAAGCAGCACTACCGCATGAGTTACTTCACTTTTCCATATTTCTTTCTTGATTTCGTCCGCCATTTTCTCCCCTATCATGTACGACGTCATTTGCAAGTGGCCGGAGATAACTAATTGGCGTTATCGACGCATCCACTACCCGCAGATTCTTTAGCCTACACCTTGAGGTCAGGCGTCACCACGCCCGTGGGTCACCTGGCGGGGCCATCTTGCACGTACCGCCACGGGTGGAAAGAGCGTGGCAGACCTACGCGAATAGCGCATTCGCCAGAATCGTCCGTGTCGAAAACTATATTTTCGCAACCGGGCATAAAGCGTTGCCTACGGGACCAACAACCCGTGGCTCCATATCGTTGGAAACTGGGAGAGGCGACGATCTTCTGCCATTCGCGGGTAGGCCGCGAGGACCACGTCTACATCTTCGGGTGCGAAAAGGCTCTCGGGTCGAATTTCCGGCGGCGTCATGGGTCTCTTGTTTCAGCAGGTAGACTTTCCCGCGGCTCTTCGGTCGCACCGCCATATGACCAGATGAACACCGGCTGGTTCTCAAGCTGCTTGACATGACGCCCTACATCCTGTCGGTGATGCGGAATATGGAGGCGAATCGCGGGTTGATGGCGCGTTGATGGAACTGTGCAACATCTCGACGTCGGGCACCCGGGGCCTGTAGTGGGGAGTGCCTTGAGGTCGTGGAAGGAGATGTCTCGAAGGTCCCTGTTGACGTGAGGGCCCTTGCCGACGCGTGAAGTAGTCCATTTGCGTGCTCGGGTTGAGCATGATCTCTGGAATGGACGGCGCGACGGTTTCGTTGAGCACGCCAATTGTGGATGACGGCTGTGTATCCATGAGATTTAGCCCCACCGGGAGGTCCTGGAATCATGTAAATTTTAGAAGATTTACTTGTTGCGTTTATACATAATACTTCGTAGTTACTTGTTGCAAACACAAAACAATGCCCTTGTGCTTGCTTTCCACATTTTTAAAGATTGATGTGTTTTAAGGACAAAACCTTGCTATTGTTGGTAACTAAAATGTTATAGCAAGCCACTGTTCGTGACACTTATTTCATATTAAAAGAGAAACGCCCATACTTGTTTATGAGACGAGAGACTTATGTAAGCCTTATTAAGAAATAAGAAAAGAACAACCAGATTACTGCTTTTCTCTCGAAAACGGCCGTAAATATTTGTTTTTCAACGTCCGTTTCTAAACGGTCAGTTCTAAACTTCGTCTCGAAACGTTCTTCGAAATTACTGTAGCGGTCGCCTGCGCCCCCTTCGAAAGAACCGGCACTGAGCGCAGCAGCGAGGCGGGACTCCCAGGGAAATACAGGGCGTAGGCGGGCAGAGTCGGCAGCTTATAGCTCTGATCCTGTATAAAGCGGCGCGCAGCTGCCAGTGAAGACAGGTCCTGTCGTCCCATCATAGTGCGAATTACGAGTGTGCAACGTTAGTGAGTGACTGCGCCAGTATAACAGACTTCTCTTCTGATTTGGATCGTTACCACGTCATTGTTGTTGGGCATCTCTTCGGCTTTTGGCTATATTGGCATGTTCCTGATAAATCTCCTGGTTATGTTTGTGACTAGCATGTTAGCCGCTCTCTGTGTGTTCAGCATTGTGAAGAAAAAACTGTGTTTATGAAATTAACCTATTTTAGTGATAACACGTTCGTCTCTATAACGTTACGGCGCGTTGACGCGTGTCCTTGTGGTGGCAAGCTTCCTACCTTGACCAGTGGCAGCCACATTCCTTGAGGTGTCGGGCGGCCGATGCGGAAGCGCAGCAAGATGGCCGGCGTGTTGAGGCGGCCGCGCAACAGAATCACCTCCTTGGTGCCGTCACCTCGTACTCCAGGCCGTCGTGGGCCGTAGCGCCACCCGCGCGCCGGCGCGCGCCCTCCAGCCCAGCGTGGTGACGTAGCTGCGCGGCCGCCCACAGGAAGAGGTTGGTGGCGGCGCGCGCGCCTTGCGCAGGTAAGCCTGCGTTGGCCGACCAGGCGCGCGCCGTGCCACGTGGTGGTCTGGATGCGGTGCATGCCCAACTTGCTCGCCCGGCTTTGTAGTCGTCGGGCGTGGGGAAGCCCGCCTCGCGAGCGCCCCTCAGGAACAGCTTGCCCATGTCTGCAAAGAAGCAGACAGAAATCAGTCTTAAAACTAGGGGCCAAAAACAGCACACGGTCAAACTGATTGATTCCTAAAACTTACCTTCTATATGTTTAATAAAAAATGTGCATTATTTTAAAATATAAAATTATATTTTCAGGGAAAATCCGGAACCTATATGATCCTCATAATATTAACAATAAATAATTTATTTTTGTCCTAAGAAGCACAAAGTTACTAAATACTAAAGTACTAAAGTAATTTAATTAGTTAATTAGTGTAACAAAATACTAAAGTAATGTATGTATTTTTCAATTTCGATTATATGTCTGCAACCTAACCGGCATTTACAAGACTCGAATCGTCGTTGAAAACGCGGGATATCATTCACAATATATGCGAACAGTCGGTGCATTTCCATCCTGGCGGCCGACTGGCGCTCAAAATTCCGCCGACGTAAAATCGTGCTAGGTTACAGGCCCACGCTTTGTACAGAGCTGGGGTAGTTTGCACTTATATCTGGCATTTCACAAACCTGCTATTTTCATTGTTTGAATCTAAAATTGTAGATTTGTTATCTTCTGCAATAAAATTATTATCGTTGCTTCCTATCACTCATAACACATGTTTTTAAGCGAAATAGAAGAAGAGAAAAATGTTATGAAAATGTTATGCAGTATCGAGTCATTTCGCAATAAATAAAATAAAAACACTTGTTTTTCTAATCAAGAAATCTATGGTGATTTTTCCTCTAATGAAATTCTTCACTACGTACAAAACTTCTACCCTGAACAATCGAGCATAGAATGCAATTGAGAGCAGATATAATCTGGGCGAGAGTTTACAATCGAGCATAGAAAGCAATTGAGAGTAGATATAATCTGGGCGAGAGTTTACAATCGAGCATAGAAAGCAATTGAGAGCAGATATAATCTGGGCGAGAGCTTACATATGAACCGCAATGGGTTGCAATTGATGTACCAGACTACCATATAAAGACTCAGTACTATGGGTTTCTGGCATCTCGCGTGAACATCTCTACAGTGTAATTGCAGATCTTTTGTGAACATTAAGCATGGAAGAAGAAAAACGATCTATCTCACCTAAGGATTTTCTTTTAAGTTTCTTGTATCTATCGAGGAAGGCCATGCATACAATATACCGTTTTTTAGATTAAAAATATTGTGCAGAAGTACCATTGTTATTAATATTGTCCTTGTGTTTTTTAATGAGTTATGGCGTTTTCCTTGTTTCGCCACACATTACGCCACAAAGTACGGCTGGGGTGTTTGTAAAGAAACTTCATAGAACTTTTTGCTAATCGTTATTCAAATTTTACCACTTTTTGTCTCATCAATATCTTAACGCAACAAGTGTATTTTATAGTCAAAAGGTTCGGGTGTAATAACTGTAAAATAAATTAACATACACCATGTATATTGTCCGCGATTTGGCATTTCATGGAGACGTTACAGAGTTATTTTATTTATTTACTCCTGACGTTTTTCTGAGGAGCCTAAAGAACACTGATCTTATTTAACGTCATAAGTTTAAAAATATTAAAATTTTGGCTTCAAGAAGATTATAAGCGAGAACCTTATCGAAGCTGGTCATAAGTTCATGATATTATAAAGCACTTTTTAGTTATGCTTTTCTATTCAAGCCGTTTACGCCTCATGTTAAAAATAAAAATAAATTGTTAATATTCCACTTGCAAAAATGATTATTTGCATTAATAAAATATATAAGCATTATCACTAGCACAGAAAAATAATAATGCAACGTAATATCTCTTAGCTCGCAATCAGTAAAAATGCCTTCATATTCATTTACATCTGCGACATCCCCTTGATTTATTTTTGTTAATTAAAACATTTTAGAGGTAATTCAGCTCATGAATTATCTTGTTCTTACCTGAAAAATATGGTGGATAAGTAGTCCTAATTCGTCCCCCGTATCCTCTGTTTTCTCTGTTCTGAAGCTCCGGTATCCGCAAGTCTTCGACCTTCTTGAAGTAAGGAACGACATCTTTGTAACTCCAACCCTTGTTGCCCATCGCTTCCCAATTGTCGAAGTCTCGTCTGTTGCCTCGAATGTTGAACATGTAGTTAATCGTAGTGCTGCCACCGACCATGCGTCCCTTCAAATAATTACGACTCATTATTTATAAAGTCATAATGAACTTTAATAAAATATTAATAACAGTATTGTGGTCAGCAAGAGGAAAATACATACCTTCTCGTGATTGGTTCGGTTAGTTCTTTTTATAGTTTTAATTTTGTAATATAATATTATTACAAAAATAGAAATATTATTTTCCAGCCATAAGATTATTTTACAGAAAGATATTAGGTTATCACTAAAGATATTACGTTACCGTTACTAATTACAGGAGGATGTCTAGACTGTTATATCACCAGAGTTTCTTCTTAATTTGAATTGAGTGTTTCCAGTTTTGTATAATTTATTCTCCACATGCATCCAGTAACTTGCATAAAGGAGATTTTATCTTTGAGGAATATTTTTTCTAAACATACAATACATCCTTTCTTGTTAAAAAAATATGTTTTTTGAATAAAGTATTTACTCAAATCTTATAATTTTCACACATGCACCATTGAATATTTTTCGCAGTCTTTGTTACTATATCCCATAAAACAGTTCCTGTAGTAGATAACGTCCATGTATTATATCGAATGTAATGAAGGATACTACCGAAACTAGTATAATAATATTATTCATATAGATGAAGTTGAAATATAGATTAAAATGTTAAAAAAGCGTTCAGAATGGATAATAATGTTATAATAATATCTGCTAAAAGGAATTATTTGCTCTTTAGAAATTCTACACTCATGATACGGTGCCTCTAAGCTATTAATTAACTTACACATAATGGTATGTTTTAGCCAATTGTAAAAAAAATATAATTGAAAAAAGCTTATCTGGACGCAGCGAAATTGTAGCGAAGAGGGCTCTGGGTTCAAACTCCGGCTTATCTGGGGATTATCGGGTTATGTCCTATTCAGGGCCATCGTAAGACGTAATTAGTGTTAATTTCAGATGAGTGACACACATTTACATAACATAAGGGGCCTGCAGAAGAAAAAAGGCTACTGCACAAAACCACAGAACATGGTTTTCCAAACCATAGCAATCACACAACTCGAAGACAATAAATAAAATACTCGCGTATATATCTAAAAATTAAACCTGATAACATAAATTGTTTTCGTAAATATTGCAAAAAAACGATATAGTAGTATATTAACACAGTTCAACAGCACTTTACATTCCTAAAATAACAAATAAATTATTGCTTTAAAACCTCGCACGTCAATAGCAAATACAATGTCGGGCACCATCTTCCTTGGAGTTCTGATGGCCCTTACGACAGCTCTTTCGTAACACGTAAGCAACAGATTATGATAATTTAGTCGGATCGCTCAATACGAAAGTAGACGGAATATCTCCATCAAATATTTACATTTCCTCATTCGAAACTCTTTCATTATTTTTGGAATTTTTCCTTTTATACAAGGTATGTAACTAAATTATACTTAACTCTGAAATAGCCGGAGTCTGCGTAGTATTATTTAAAATTTTACACACATCTAAAATATAAATGTTTTTGTATTTCCCGTGTTTCCTGGTTTCTGACGAAACCGTAGTCACCTTTTAAGAGGCCACACACCGCAATTATCTATACATATCTGCGCGCATTGGATATTACTGATACAGGTATGTACAGGTAATCAAGCCAGTAAACATTGTGTAATCATGAGATAGATGAAGACAAGCGCCATTCATTTATCTCATCAATCGCAATCTCCATGCATCTATTGCATTCTTCTGTATATTTCCAAACTATATATTGTCACGCTGCCAAAACGTATACAGATTTTCCTGAAAGTGGGTAAATACGGAAAATGACCGATATACTCGCACTGTCTTAGTGTTAGGTTCCTACTATCTAAGGTGTCCTAATCTTGTCTGGTCGTAGGAAGGTGTAACTAAAGTGTGCTAAAGTGCAAAGGGTAAAAAAAAAAATAAAAAGAATTCTAAAGAATTGACGTGATATGACGTGTCGTGAATTAAACTTGTTCTTGAAAACGGCACAGAGTCTTGTGAAGGTAAGTTTCCTAATCTCTTTAAAGACTAAAATACTACCACAGCTTGTCGCGGGGCCTGCTAATCCTCTTAGAGATAGTGACGTGCACCATCGCCGAACATTGCGTCCCGTAACCGCATCTTTCCTTTTCTTCTTTGTCCTATCCTCATTCGTTACAAACAACTCACATGCACTACACTACAAATCATCCTAGGAAACGAGGTGGGAGCTAGAATTTGTCTCGACTGGGATAGTGCCCCGCAGTTGGGATATACCTGATTGAGGATAAATTCCCCAAGATGATGATTAGTTGAATCCGGAAGCAGAGGAAGATCACTGCCACCTTCTGCTATAAGCAATGTTCTACACATGCAAGCAAAAGACCTTAGCAAGTTGAATCATCAAATAATTAGTCAATCAACCAACGTTTGGTCGAGGTCATAATTCTCCATCCCGTGGGGGATGATCACTTCCCCCAGCCGAGGAAAAAACGTGCACTACACTTACAAGACGAATGGTCTTAGCAGTTGACGCAGTTAAATCGCCCCACCTGCGGGTAGTCGCAGTACGAGTTCTCGAGCTCCGCGCAGGACGTGTTCTGCCACGTGGTGACGAACGGCTAGTAGGAAAACACGTGCACTACTCTTACGAGACTAATGACCTTAGCAGTTGAGGTAGTTAAGCAATCAGCCTACCTGCGGGTAGTCGCAGCGCGAGTCTTCCAGCTCCGCGCAGGACGTGTTCTGGCGCGTGGTGAGGAACTGCCAGTTGGCGTCGGTGTGGTGGAACTGGCTCAGCAGGAACGGGATGGTCATGACGGGCACCTCCTCCCCGCCCGCCTCCAGCAGCAGCACGCTCCAGTCGCCCACCTCGGCGAGGCGCGTGGCCAGCGCGCTGCCCGCCGCGCCCGCGCCCACCACCACGAAGTCGAACTCCTTGCGATGGCCGCTATCCACGGGCTCGCGCACCAGGCGGCGCTGCATGTGGAAGACGGCCGGCACGAAGTCGGTGAGCGCGTTGACGATGTTGAGGCTCGTGGGGATGGGCACAAGTTCCCACCACAGGCCCAGCGCAAACAGCAACGGGAGCACTCCGAGTACTGCCCACCGCATCTCGCCGTGGGGCTGCATCAAATTATAACGGGTGGTCCTACACAACTAGCTACAGAACCACTTTCTTACTATAGCTATTGTTTATTTTTCTTCAGTCTGTTCCATCTTTTCTTTTTCCATGGTCTTATCAGCAGTCATATGTTGTCATCTAAAATGAAATGTAGCTTTTTGTATTAAAGAAGGGTAAAGTCTTGCCCCCATAGGCGAATTTTTATTTGACAATATAGAGCCGTTAAGAGACAAAACCTAATACAATTTTAAACCAAAATTTTTATTTTGGAAAAACTTAATTAGAAATTATTTTAGAAATTGCACTCACAAATGTATTAATGTATGAGAAATACCCTTACTGTGAATATTGAAGTTGTGAGAGATTCTTAAAAATGATTATGTAATATTCTAAAAATCGAAAGAATACATTATGACGGAATTTTAATACACTAATTCTGCGCATTTAGCAACTACGCTCATAGGAAAATCGTTTATAGGAAAAATTTGGAACGTTTTCGAGAACATCTGGTTTTCATATATTGCTTATATTTAATCTCTTTTTGGTTTTTATCTTCTAATATTCGAAAACTGAGTGTTGGAAAGATTGTGGTGTGTCAAGTAGATTTTTCCAGTTGGTCCGCCTTGGTAAGCTGGCTTGGTGTACAGGTACGGCGATCGACGAGTAGACTCGGAAGACCTGAATCCGCGTGTCAGCGCGTAAAAGAAACATTCCTAATTAAAAACCCTTTCGCAACTACATACAGTAATATAATGCAAATAAAGTGAAAGATTATGTATTATTGTTGCTTCAATAGTTTTCGAAAAGATATCATACCAAAATAAATCAGAATATTTTTCTGGCTTGTCGTTGATTTAAAATTTCACATTGACAGAAACGCTTAAACTAAATTATATCTAAAAACTACCACAATTTTTTCAACGAAAAATTCCATCTTTAACTAGGTTCTATTTTTCTACAATATTTTTTAGATATTTTCTTCAATATATCATTGCGATGGCCGAAAAATTGAGAAAAAGTGACAAAATATACTTTAGGAGACAATATATGGTAACTGGGAAGAAGATGAGGCAAAACCGAACACCTTGCCCAAACCCAAGAAATTAGGACACTTACTAGATAAACTATGTACCTATCTGTAGCATCACTGGTTCTATAAGTTGTATATTTTTGGAATGGAGGGAGTGTAATGGATTATGCTCTACATCTTGAGAAAATAAACAATTTCATGGATTTTGTGAACAAATTGCTGGCCGAATACTGTCATTTACCAGTGAGGTTTTTAATTAGCAATAACTGCTTTTGATAGGTAATCGACAGTGAAGCTGGCGGGTGCTACGGCCTTAACAGTTGCACGACAACAGTTTGCGTATAAGGGGGAAAAGCGACAGGATGAGTCTGTTCTTATCTCGGCCGGATGGACACCAGACACCCTGTCATTAGGAAGACGTTAAAGGCGGTGCTACCGCTCTCTATAATGCAGAAGTAGTGGAGAGGAGGAAGTGTGCTGACCTATAGATGGTTTAGCGAGGCGTGCCACGAAAGCAGACGATAAGCAATAGTATCCTTAAAGAAGTTTAGAAGAGTGGGAGCTGTTGAAGGAAGAAATAGTTTCTTGATGTTACGTAGGTAGCATGAGACCACGATCAGGGAATCGAAGAAATCTTTCCAGGAAATTGAGACACCAAAAATTAAGGCGATTGTAAGGAAAGAACAAAGTAAATCAATTTGGGACGTTATCACATCTCTGCATTTGAAATTAAATGCACGTAATATAATTTCATCTGACGTATGGGTGCAGGTATTCTACGGGTACTTGCAACAGTAGATATTGAAACAGGAGCAGATATTTTTATTGAACTGAGTGACCCTAAATTAGGGGAACCTTCAACGTGAAATGAAGTGAATAGTGCAATTCCACCCAGAATAGTAAGAAAGCAAGAGGTGGAGACCGCATTATGACAATATGTACTTTTGAATTGAAAAACATAGAGCCAGAGTGAATTTGTTTAATAGCTGTGTCGATTCTAGACCTTCAAGAAACGAAGAGGACAGCTATCCTTCAAACTATTTTTAAGAATACAGCACACCCTCTGGTACTCCCGACTTGATACACCGAAAGATTGCGAATGTAATAAATAATAATTAATGTAAAGTAAGTAACAATCTTACTACAGTATCAACTGGAGAGCCGACGGTTGTTCATCAGACATTATTGATATTCCTTATCTCCTGGAGGTCTTCGATACAAAAGGTATTGCCACAGATAGAATGCAAATAGAATCAAACTACTATCTTCGTATGATACCTTTGAAATTTTAACCATCAGATCTAGAATACAGCAATGTCCTTTGATACTGAACGTATATAATGAGTATACATACTGGATTAAGTTTCGTGAAATCACAGAGAGTAGACGTTTAGCAAATTCCCTTTAAAAAGGGCAGACGACATTGATGAACGAATCAAACGTCTAACAGAAAACATTTAGCATGCAGCATGAGAGACACCTTTCCTGCCTTGCTCGAGTCAATATTCTTATCCTTCAATTGTATTGGAAGCATTGAAAGAGAAGTGTACCTTTTGTGTCTCTCTCTTCAACGCGGCATCAAATATCAAGAGGATATGATCCAACACCTTAGCCATTTTTCTTCTGGGAGATAGTGACAATCTTGAACGTGACATGAAACATCACAACCTAGCCTTGCCTTCAAATTCCAATAATTATATAAGATTAACATTGTACAATTTTCATCATTAGAATTCATTTTCTGAATATTTAATTTTTAAAAATTGTAAATTAGCAGAAAATATAAGGCAAACATATTGTTTCCTTTCATTGATCTGATTTAACGTAGTTTTCTGAAGTTTCATTTTAATTTGAATCATAAGGGTTCACAAAATATTGGTTGACAATATTATAATACTGGTATTACCAAGTAAATATATTTGATACAATTATTTTCTGAAATTTATAAACTCAATCAACGAATCTCAGACAATAATATCAAAACACATACTTGACATTTAGCTTGAATTACATTGCTAACCAGCATACAGTGTTTAATACTGACATAGAGATCTTCGTGTGTAATGAAAAGAGAAGTTTTTAGCGAAGAAGTGATAATAAATAATTTAAAGAATTGCTTTTTGATATCATGGACAGTACTGAACTAAAATGTGTCTCTTACAAAAAAGTCATTCCTATTCACAATTCAATTCAATTCCAGAGAGGGAAAACAATAAATAAACGAAACATGTAATCGCTGTACCTGCAACACATCGCTCGAAACCCTCTAATACAGCGAGAGTTTCTCGCGCCAGAACGTGCTGTTCCCGCGTGACTTACCTGAATCACTGTCGGACACTGTGCGTGGTCTGAACACACGCGTGCCGATTGCTCGCCGACTCCTCACACGTTTGGCACGGCTTCTACAGCGCTGGCGGCGGCGGCCGATACGAAAGTAAAAGTGGCGGATCTCTTCGCTGGCGCGCTGTTGTGTGGAGAGATGTTGCGGGAATGACGTGCGTACGTGTGTGTGCGTGTGTGAGGGGGTCCTGACGTTCACCCTGCGAGGTTCTGCCTTGCGTCTGCACGCTCGTCCGTGGTCGCCCGTGCACTACCTGCGACCGCACGTGCCCGCTCCCACTTTTTATTGCAGCGTCCCGGCCGCCGAGGCCACGCCCCCCCCCCCTACTAGCGGTTTGCGTTGAGCTTTCGTGGAGACGCTCTTTAAAAGTGGTTGCAATCCGCGATGGTGTGACCACTTCATAAATTTCTGTTATTTCTGTGTTTTGAGGCTAGTTTTTTCTTCATCTTTCTGCTTGTCGCAGATCAGGTGGGATATATTTTTAGATTTATTTTGTTGTTGCATCTTTCATTTGGAACGTATTATGTATTCATAATACGTTATGTAATTCATACTTTGAAGAATACCAATTGTAATGGCATATACTTCCTTTTTTGCCCCATTGTAGTATAGGGAGCGTATGCTGGGATCCTTTCAGACTAGGTCAAATTCATAAGCTAAACTAAAGTCCGAAAAGACTTTTGTGATTCTGATTATATTTTTAAACATAGCACGGTTTGATTACGTTATGTTAATTGTGTTATTTTCGGGGTGAGGATTGGTCGTGTTTCTTCTAAAATATGATACTAAGTAGACGAATACCTCCTCAACATACTGAATTAAGGTGAACCGTGTTTAGTGTAGGCAAGTAGGTCTTGCTATTTAATATTTTTCTGTAAACTTTCTTAGCTTATTAGTTTTAGTGGTGAGTAATAGTACTAGCTTATGATATTGTTAATTTTTGTGGGTAATCCTTAATATTTTAAATGTGTCTGTTATAGATTAAATGTTTTTCAAAGTTCGGGAGTTGTTAGAAGGGCCCATAGTCTTATCTTTTTTTTAACTTCTATAACTTTAATTAGGTCTGGAAGGTCTTGAGTTTTAGTTTTTAAGGGCTGATTGAGTGTTTAATTCGGCCGCTTGTATTTTAATATGGTTATCTGCATTGGGATGAGTGAGAGGAAAATCAATTTCAGTGGGGATTTTGAGCGTTTAGAAAGATAATGTTTGCTCTTAAGATTTTTGGAATTGGTTGAAATTTAGTCTGCGAGTATTAGAGTTGAAATTTGGAGCATATTGTGGGGCATAATACTGCGAATTAGAGCTCGAATGTGGCCTGAGTCTAATTCACATATCGGGTTAGATGAAACTGATGTTGAAGTTGGTAATGCCGATGTCCAGAATATCTGATCTGATTGGATTTGTCTCAATCGAATGGATGATATGTAGGCTTACGGGGGTGATTATTTTGAGTTTTAATTCGTTAATAATTTCTGAAAGAATGAGTCCATTATGATTGTTGTGACGACAGTCCCAATTAGTATTTTTAGCGTTAAAGTTGCCAATTTGTAAGGTGTTGTTCGAAGGGTGAATAATATTTCTAAAAATGATATCAATTTTTTATCTACAATGTAGTACCGAAAAAATTGAATTAGTTTTACATTTTTGTTAAAAAAATCATTCCTGTTTACTAGTATCATTTCTTAATGGTATTATACTGCCTTTGTATTATAATTATAATAATAATAACAATATTATTTATTATTATTCAGGTAATCAGAGACTGAGTTTTTTAGCGTTAATATTATTAGGGATTAGAAAAATTATTAAATTAACCAAACAGGATGAATTTGATTTAATAGTTAAATATGACTTTGGAATATTAGTGTAAGTACGGGTTATTACGTGTGGTTTAGATTCTTACGCTGGTTTTGATATTGGGAGATTGAGTGCTGAGTGAAATAAATGATTGCATTAGGTCGCTGTGGATTTGGGAAGCTTGAGAGGGATTGAAAGGAAGATGGCGCGCTGTACTAGGTTGCGATTTACCTTTATATTATTTGTAGACGGTCGGTAGGTTTTTATTTATAATTGCCTTTTAATAGGTTCTAGAATGGTCTCTAGTGTCGTCTTTATGTTTTATATCCCAGTAAACGCACGCCTTTCTTCTTACAGGGACATTTCACTGTGTAGTGATTATCGGCGGAAAATACCCAGTGAATTTTGTGATTTCATTTTTTCTTGGGGTAACCATAGTCTAAGGACCCATTGAACCGTGAGTTCTTTTTTCGGAAATGTTTCTGCGATTGTTTATTGCGTTTATTGTTAATAATGATTCAATCGCTTCTTCGCCACCAATATCTGCTGCTACTATTTCTGGGATTAGTTTACTACCCTTGTTTAACCTTGTGATTTTTATTGTTGAAGGGTGTTGTGATTTTATGTCTTCTTTTATGCCACCTTCAGAAATTGTCTTATGAAAATATTTTATCTGAGATTTTAAATACCACTGTGTATTTAAAACCACTCAAAGTAAGGGGAATTCTGATAAGTGAGAGTTTTGTGATTGTATTATGAATTTTACAAGAATCCTAAATCCAGAGACTAAGTTCACTTTATTTTTATTGTTCTTTAACATTGATAAAGAAAGTTTTCGTAATCTTAGCTTCTAGGCTCATTATGATTTTGTTGACGTTAGGGATATTAGCCACTGGTACGCAGATTGGTGGATTTTATTTCCTGGGATTTTCTGTTCTTTGCACATTTCTCCTTGAGGCGTGAGAATGTATTGCACTCAGGACCTCAAACTTGTTTTTTACAGATACGATACATGCATAATTAGTGGATGATTGAAATTCGCTCACCCGCATTCACTGAAACGATTCATTTTTTAGTTTTGGTTTAGAGGGTTGGGCTTTGGTTACACTGTCATTGGCTTTGACTGGCCTGATGTCTCGTGGATGGAGGTGGCTTTTGGTGACAGTAGAGCTCCGAAGAATAAACTAAAAATGTGGAGCCTTAAAGTGTTATAAATAAAAATGTTGGTAAAGACAAATTCTTTTATTTAAAAGATGTTTTGGAAGTTTGAAATGCGGTATGTACATTAAAAAACAGAATGCTTCAAGTTGGTGTATGTAGTAATTTGTGTAGAATAAAAATATACATTTTGAAAAAAACCTTCTCTTCTTTTCTATAATATTTTTTATTCAATATTCGTTTGACCAAGTCACCGAAACTCGTTCTTGCCCTTTCAGGACAATAAGTAAAATGCTTGGTATAAGGTAATTGATGTTCGGTAATTGACCTTTGCATTTCACAACACAGTTTAATTCGTTGTTATTACTGTATATATTGTTAATTTGCACATTAAATTCTGTTTCAAAATTGATTTTGAATGAGGTTCGGCTTGAGTTTTGAAATGGCTCAAATGTTTGGTCGCGAGTAAGGTTTTAGAAGGATCATTTATATTGTATCTAAGCGAAATGCTACTCAGGCTACAAATTACAATTGCTTGCCTGAAAATTTTGGAAATGAGGTTCATTGGAAAATGTGAAGAGGGTCTTACGAGTTATTCGTCACGCCACTGCTTGTGACAAACTTTGAATATTCAGAGTTAAAGACCTTCTCTTACAAAATGGTTCCATTGCGCGTGCCGTCCCTTTTATGCATGTCCTATATCTGTAGAATTGGCAAAGACTGTTGATTTTACCGTCAGTTGTTTAATGCGAATTGTTTAAGAATGATTCTGTTTTTCTTCACTTTATTAGAGTAACTTGTATATGGATTTTAATTGCTTCTAGACAATGTATTAAGTATACAAGAGAGAAACAAACTTCTTCATATATATGTAATGTTTTGAAAACGACATTTTGCAGATATATTTTGGATATTGTCGTAAAAGGTAGGAATACGCACGTGTTCTACATGAAATGGTTATTGATTTATTTATGGTGTGTTAAGTATGAATATTACGTAATTGCAAGTGAAAGGAGGTGTGATGGAATGCGTCTGATTAACGTGTTAGATTGAAACTGTGACAGATGGATATATTTTTGCAGAGAAGTGTTTTATTATAGTGGAGAAAGAGTACCTCTGGCTAATAATACCTTTGGTCTTAATGATATAACCCTTATAATTATGGCTAAAATATTTTTGGCCTTTGGAATTATTATTTATATTGATATTTATATATATATATATATATATATATATATATATATATATATATATATTGGGCAAAAAGATGTATTATTGAATTAAAACAGAAATATGAAATAGAAGGAACAGACACTGTTGCAAAACCGTTTTTCAAGGTCATTTAAATGGAACGAGAGTGCTTTTAGATATAACTCTTATAATTATGGCTAAAAATATTTTTGGCCTAAGAGAGAACCTTGGTCAATTAGCAATCGACTGTTTGATCTCGAATTTTTTGAGGTATTATAATTGCCTAAATTGAAACTTTTCTACAATTTACAAAGAACCCTAAAACGTAAACTCAAATTCAATTAAAAGCACTTCCTTTACATTTATACTCGAATTGCTCGGCGTAGGATTAAAGAATAATTTTAAACTTTTCTTTATAAATAGCGAGAAGGAAAAAAACATGAAAAAGAAAATGTTTTACAATGTAACATCTGATTAAATGTATGGAAATAATACACAAAATGCCACAAAAATAATGCGAGTGCATGTATTTTCTTGGGTTAGTTTTGTTTATTATATTGATTTATAAGGTAAGATAAGTTTGGAACCGGGAAACCAACTTTTAAAAAACATAATCATTTTTAGTGAGAAAATGAAGAAGACGGGGTTTTCCAGGTGAGGGCAAGGCAGAGAGATGTTGGGGAAGACGGAGCCCGGATTCTATAGAAGAGTAAGCTCCACACGAGGGTGGGAATAAATGCAATATGCTCCTGTCTAATAAATTATTGAGACTATTCCACTCATGAAATTAAAACAAATTGTGTTTAACTATACATACAAAATCATCAGAACGGTTCATCTTAAAAAGTTTATCTTTTTTTCCATCTATTTTTTTCTGACCGCGTCTAACTAATTGGCAATGGAAATCTGTGACTCATCTATCTTAGGAGGCGTTATACATCAATCGCCATGTCTATGTCCAATAAACAGCGTATTTACTAAAACATTACCCCTGATATTAACATACATATTCAGTTATTTTCAATATTTGATACATTTTGTTATTCTGTTGCAAATAATTTCCCTAGTGGTATAGTACTATGGAAGTTCCCAGATAAATCTCCTCGCTTCACGAGTCGGAAATTTATCGACAATTTCCACAGCACTTGTGGAATTACCTATGATAAATATCCCGGAAATGCAGCGTGCTTCAACTAGTATTACATACATACGTAAATTATATGACAGCGGTTGGGAAATATTCCTCCAATAAAAAATATTCCTCCAATAAAAAATATACTCAATTTGCATGAGCTGTCGAGTTCTTATTCTGTCTTATGAGGTTTTTACGTCCTGAAAAGTACACGCTGTCTGCGTCACAATGTGTTGTGAGAATTTATTTGGCGATAAATTTTTAATACTTCGATTTAATAAATATTTTTAGCTTTACGTCATTATTTGCATGATAGAATATCGTTTTAATAGCAGTTCCGTTTTTATCCGGGCTCTAATTCTTATATGTGCAATATTGTGTCGCATTGCTGTAAAGCACTATACATTATAGACATTTTATAGAAAACATCCTAAAAGAGAAAACTTAGTTGATTACTTATTAATACTGCATTATTCCCAATCACTTATTCAGCCATGAATTTCCTTTTACTTTCCTGTATACGTACGGAATAGTATAAGCAAAGGTAACTAATGCTGCGCAAAATGGCTTTCCTGATTTCAACGGAAAAATACGTTTTGGGGTCACCTGATATTGAAAATGAGGTTCTTTACAAAACGTCCAACTCTCTGTCCGTCTGGAAACACTAATTACGCCTAAGCCATACAATTTTTTTAAAAATGTGCTTTAGGCGGCAATTAATGACAGGTGGCAACAGTATGTGACAAGTCCGAATAGCTAGCCGAGATCAATGGAAATAGTAAACTAAACTAATAAAGAAAGTGTGTGCCATTCTGTAGCACCACTAGTTGTTTTTTATCGTTGTAGCATGAAATGCCGTAATTTTTGGCTGTCGACAGACAGATTTTGCTTGCGCTTATGTTATGACAGAAACATATTTCTGAGCGTGCGTTTTGGATCGAGTATTGATGTCAAGAGACCAGTGGATATTTAGTATGTTGGAAACTATTAAAATACCATTTGGCATTCAATTTGCAACAAATGTCAAAAGTTCTAATATGACATGTTCATCTCAGGTAAAATTTGTTGAACCTTCCGGGCTGTTCTACCGTATATTATACAGTATTTCGGAATTGTTAATATTTTTTTTTTATTTTTGTCAAAATTATTTAGCTCAAGGAAATCCGGTCGTGTCCATTACATTTTGTTCTCGAGATGTGTAATTGTTTATATGAAATTAGAATATCTTAATCACCCTCATTCTTTGCTTTCATTCAATTCTCTCTCCTGAAAAAGTTACACTGAAAACACAGTTTTCACACGTATCGCTTTGTTCTCTACACACGCATAATGTCTAAGACGAGGATGATAAGTCGCGGTTTGTCGAAGGATTACCAGATATCCAGGTTTTGCGCGGTTACTAAGATAGAGTTTCAAGCGATTTTCTTTCTTTTGGCGAAGAAACATTATGAAAAACCATTGAACTAAATTTACGATTAATCAGACACTTGCTTTTATGTATTTTGTTTCATAAGCTAAGTAGTAGAGCTACAGAATGACACAAATTCCCTCCTACTAGCTAGCTTCTTAATCTCTTTAGTCTTTGCTAACTTTCAGATTTGGCTTCATCCTCTTCCCAGCTGCTACCTAATCGGAAGATTTTTCTATGGATAAGCTAGGTTTTTTCACATTTTCTCAGATTTATGGTTTAATATATAAGTATTGAAATTACATATGGTGATTTAATGCATAACAGAATTGAAATATTATTTTAGGAATATTACAGAAGAATAATAACTTATCGTGTGTGCTATTATTCATTGCGAAAATTGAAGTCGATTTTGAGGAAATATCATTCCACATTTGCGCATGAATATACGTAGTTTTGAACGAATTTCCACAGAAAACTTTATGTTTCCGAAAAATTTCATAAGAAATCATTTGATGAAGCCATTGTACTTACAAATACGATGGTGTATAAAAAATCACATAATATAAATACTAACGATGAAACAGATACTTTAGAAAAAAAACTAATTGTATCCCTGATCCTTGCACTCCTTCCTATGATCTTCTTCACATACAAGCTTTTGATAAGAGTTTATTTTTAATAATCTCTCAGCTCTCGTTAGTGGTTGTTCGTACCTACATTCTTGATAATTGAATTTGACAATCATCCTGTGAAACTGTACTGTAAAGCTCGGACAGTTTGGACAGTGTTGAAAGGTGTTTTGGAATGGAAGCGAATCATGATGAAAAAAGTTCCGAAACAATTGAATGAATGAAGTGCCTTCTCGAAAGGACACATCAAGCTACTCCCATAGCACGTCCTGCCACTCTGTGCTGTGATCGATTCCGTCGCCACACGCTCCAGCCTGGCCCAATCCTGCCCATCCCTGTCGTTCCCTGCTTTTTCGTGCCCCATCCGATCCCTTCCCATGAAATACCATTCCATCCCTTCCCGGCTCTTCTCGACCATTCCTGCCCTTTCCCGTTTCTCTCTTGCCCTTACCTGCCGTTCTTTGCCCTTTCCTGTCCACCTCTTCCCTATCTTTCCCTTTCTTACCCTCCCTTGTGTTGCCATGCTCTGACCTGCTCTGCTCCTTGCTTGTCTTGTATTGCTTTGCTCAATCCTGCCCTTTCCTGTCCGGTCCCGTCCTGTCTGACACGGCCCGGCCCAGCCGCACCGACGCGCCGCGCCTTGCCATGCCATGCCATGACATGCCATGCCACGCCACGCGCGAAAACAACACGGCTGGAGTAGTGACACAACTACTCTATCTTGCTTTGCCTACTTTGTATGTACTCGTATGTATGTACTTGGCGCGACAGCCCGTGAGCTGGCTCAGACCTACCAGCGACGTCCCTGCCTTGCGGACATGGGTTATGGGGGTTCATGTGGTTAGCGAGAATTTTCTCATCGTCACATTGCGGTATACACTAGGACATTGCAAGACACTGCACACTTGTTGTAATAAATACATATTTTATTTACATATTGAAAAAGTACCAAAAGTACAGGAAAGCTACAGTAGTCAATACAGATAATAAATTAAAAATGTTGTGATTAATAATAATAAAAAATATTTATAGTATTTCCGGTATACAACACGCTCACAACAATACTTTGTTTAAAATTTAACATTCTTTAAACAATGACACTGCATTTCCTGACACATAGTATTTAGAATTTCTTGAATATAGAATATATTTTGATATTTTCATCACAACTAACTTTCAAATTAAATGAATGTGGAGAGTTTGCGGTGAGTCGTATACAAATACCGATTTGTACTTCACAATTTAATGGTTTTTATCATATGTAACAAAAATCATACAGTTTTGGCATCTTAACGTTAGTTCGGTTTGGCATCTTAACGTGAGAAGGGGCTCAGAGTGAAAGTCCCTTGCCTTTCACCAAGGAGACACGGTTCGATTCTCAGACAATCTCATGGGAAATTTGTTCCGACTAAACGAGCTTGTCTCTTCTCAGGGGCTAGTCCAACTCCTGTGAAGTGACCTAAATCCTACCACTGTCCTAATTCCTTGCCAATTCTGGTCGCAGGGTTGTGACGCAACATCGCGTGTAAAAAAGCACATACGCCGTGTTGCAGACCTCTTTACAACAGATTGTATAATCTTAAGAGTACCCTAGCATTCATGTCAATTATACAGACGCTAATGACCCAGGAGTTGATGCGACCTTATATTTAAAAACAAACTGCGTTTTTGTAAGAGTTGCAATTGTAAGGCTTTGGGCTGTAACAAGGTACACCACACCAGTAAGGGAAAGCTTTGCGCTATTCGCAAATGATATTATTTTATTATTTTTAAGTGTGGTTTTATCTTGTTACTATCCCCAGTCCCTGAATTGATTTTGACACATGTCTTGTTATTTCAAGGTACACTACCGCATGAGTTACTTCACTTTTCCATATTCTTGTCTTTGATTTCGTCCGCCATTTTCTCCCCTATCATGTACGACGTCCATTTGCAAGTGGCCGGAGATTAACTAATGGCGTTATCGACGCATCCACTACCCGCAGATTCTTTATGCCTACAACCTTGAGGTCAGGCGTCACCACGCCCGTGGGGTCACCTGGCGGGGCCATCTTGCACGTACCGCACGGGTGGTAAAGCGTGGCAGACGCTACGCGAATAGCGCATCGCCAGTAATCGTCCGTGTCGAAAACTATTTTTCGCAACGGGCATAAAGCGGTTGCCTCCGGGACCAACAACCGTGCTCCGATCGTTGGAAACTGGCGAGAGGCGACGATCTTCTGCCACTCGCGGATGGCCGCGAGGACCACGTCTACATCTTCCGGTGCGAGAAGGCTCTCGGGTCGATTTCCGGCGGCGTCATGGGTCTTTGTTCAGCAGGTAGACTTTCCCGCGGCTCTTCGGTCGTAGCCGCATATGCACGAAATGAACACCGGCTTGTTCTCGACCGGCTTTAGTATCACGTCATACAACTGCCGGGTGATGCGGAATATGGAGGCGAATCGCGGGTTGATGGCGACGTTGATGAACTGTGCAACTCTCGACGTCGGGCCACCCGGGGCTGTAGTGAGGAGTGCCTTTGAGGTCGTGGAAGGAGATGGTCTCGAAGGTCCCTGTTGACGTGAGAGGCCCTGCTCGACGCGTGAAGTAGTCCATTTGCGTGCTCGGGTTGAGCATGATCTCTGGAATGGACGCGCGACGGTTTCGTTGAGCACGCCAATGGTGGCGATGACGGCTGTTGATCCATGAGATTCAGCCCCACCGGGAGGTCCTAGAAATCATGTAATAATTAGAAGATTACTTGTTACGTTTATACATAATACTTCGTAGTTACTTGTTGCGAAACACAAAACAATGCCCTTGTGCTTGCTTTCCACATTTTTAAAGATGATGTGTTTTAAGCCAAACCTTGCTATTGTTGGTAACTAAAATGTTATAGTAAGCTACTGTTTCGTGACACTTCCATATTAAAAGAGAAACGGCCATACTCATTTATGAGACGAGCGCACTTATGTAAGCCATATTTAAGAAATAATAAGAGAACAACCCAGAATACTTGCCTTCTCTCGAAAAACGGCGTAAAATTATCGTTTTTCAACGTCCGTTTCTAAACATTCGTCAATTCTAAACATTCGTCTCGTTTTACTACTAAGCGTTTATTTATTACAGGACGAAAGATAAAGAGAGAGGGAAAGAGCGAGACAGAGAGAGAAAGGAAAGAGAGAGAGAGAGAGAGAGAGAGAGAGAGACAGAGAGAGAGACAGAGAGAGAGAGAAAGAGAGAGAGAGACACATACTCCAATCTACCCATTTGTCCAATGTAAATGTATTAAAATACAATGTTGACGAATAATAATTTTTTTATACGACTGCTTTCAGCTTTTTTCGTTGTGCTTTTTTTCGTGAATATATAAAATATATTAATAATAAATAAATTAGGTAAATAAATAATAAAAATATAGGTCACGTAACGTCATGCTAATATAAATTATCTTTTAGTGTGAGAATGAAAATCTGAATAATTTTTCGGAACCACTCCATGAAAAAATAAGTACGCAGTAATCGCAAGACTTAAAAGAGTTCTGCTCAGCATGAGCTGCATAAAGATTGTTCAACATTATGGCTATTCAGTGAATTTGTTTGTTAATGACTCAATTATCTTCTGGTAAACATATTTTTTGTTTTTTAATATGCGACATTCCTCAAAAATTTCGATATCGGAATTACTGCTATTCTAACAAAAGCCATCATCCTCTACTCAATGAAAGTATTGCTATAGTGTATTTGGTGAGTAAAACGATCCTGATGAGCGGTTGTCGTGATTCATTCGATCAATATTCTAGGACATAACGCTCAGCACCATTGAAAGCATAGGCAAAATATTGTTCCTTCTTCAACCTGTTACTCTTCGTATCTCATGG